CGTATGAACCAGTCGTTGGTCACTGGCTACCATGGGACTTCATCTCCTCATGATGCTTCATTGCCTTGTGGATCATACCTTCAGGTCTAAGGCTCCGGGTGTGGCCCCCCTAAGAAAATCGATTGCTTCTGTTTGGGTACCCGGGCAGTATCACATCCCACGCACAAATCAAGTGACTTGGGTAGCGCATATCTTTTTGGTGCCCCCCTTGTACCAATATCTATGTGTGAAAATAAATAAATATTACTTATGAGTAAATAGTATTTTATTGCAGAATATCTTACCCATATTTCGCTGACCATTTTATTATTTTTATCCGTTCGGATATTTTGTCCCTGTCTGTACTAATTATGAACCGTTTTTATGGTGTTTGAATGAACTAATGATACCTTTGTACTTGTTGAATGCTCGATTTCGAATTTCAAATACAATACATTCGTTTGTGCTTGTGTCTTACTTCTTAATTCAATTGCGTTATTTCTGGGACTCTTATTTCGTACTATAATTCAAATAATTCGAAACATTATATTTATTCACTTTCAGTCTTTAGCCTAGACTTGTTATTATTTACTGTAGAACGATAGAGGCTTACAGAAGCTAAGACAGTTTTCTAACTTTCACTGACTTGAGGTCCTTTACTCAAACGAATCTGACAAACCCCTCGATAGTAAGTAACACTAAAGTGCTAACGCCACATTCCTGTTAAACCCTTAATTTTGTTAAAGAGTTTATGAAAAATGCTTACAGTTTACTATTCAATTGTTGTCGGTTTTTTTCTCGTTTATCTGAGCTAATTAAAGTAGAAGAATATTTTTGAGATAGTGGAGAAGATTTGTAGCTCAAGTGGACGATTTTGATGAAGTATTGTTCTTTGAACTGGATGGTTTAGTCATGAAGCTGTCATCATTCTTCTGAAAGACGATGAAAGCTCCACGACTAAACCATCTAGTTCAGAGAACAAAACCTCATTAAAAAAAAGGGATATTTTTCGTATAATTGTTCTGGAAAATAACTCTCTCTCTACATATATATATATATAAGGTAGAGATAATTCTCTATATTTAATTGTTGTTTTCCATGCCTATTTTAGCTTTGAAAAACATATGCAAGAAGTTCATAATCAAGGTGGTGGGAATCTATAACACACTTCATACTTCAATTATTACTTTTTTTTTTTCTTATTACCTTCAAGTGTAACACTATTCTGTGAATATAAAGCCAACATAAACAATCTGCTTATATTTATTATGTGATATTGAGTTTTTGTTTGTTTGTTTTTTTTAATGAGAAATGTCCACATGTTTTGTGTGTGCGTGTGTATATTGAAGGGGGGGGAACTTTACAAAGTTAATTTAATTTTAGAAAATTTATTTTGCATTAGAATTGTACTTTATTTGATGAAACTTTTTTGTTAAAAATAAAACTGATTTACACTTGATTTTTTTCTGGGTATACAAGATTCTTTTTTAAGGGGGAAATAACTAAACTCAATTGACTTTTATTATATTGTTAAAAGTAAATGATTTAAAAAGAAAATAGATTTATAGTAGCCATATTGGGACTTGGTCGATAGCAGTCGATCTGTACTACGAAGGACTTGACACACATGGCATTGATCACCACCCAATGATCAATCAATTGTGATTACATCTCAGTTCTACAGGAGGTCGGTCGCGGACCGGATAGCCTAGTGGTAACGTCTTTGATTGTGAAGCTGGGTGTCACAGGATCGAGTCTGTCAGGGAGCACCAGTTCCAACAAGATCACAGGTACACCATGCTGACGAGTGCCAAGTAGTACGAAACCTGGATCCAGGGTTTCCTGTTGACTACCTCCAATCACCATCTAGTCTCAACATAGTGCACGCAATGTTGAGTCACTTAGACTAGTGGCCACATTGCAACTTGGTCGATAGTATTTGATCTGCACTAAGAAGGACTTGACACACATGACACTGATCAAAACCCAGTGATCAATCAATTGTGATAGATTTATAGTGTTATGTTGTCAGGCGGCCTTCTTAAATGTTTGGGCTACCAGTTCTTGCCATCTGGATATTTCAACAAATTATCTTTTTGCTTGTTTGTTTTAACACATCATTATGTTTATTAACCGCATAACCTATTCAGGTGCGTTTGTGAAAAGTTCACGACATTTCGCCGTACAAGTTACAAAAAAATATACACTAATCAGATGTCAATTCCTGAACGGCTAATATCTAACTAGCAACCACCCAATTTTTATCGTAAGGGTCGATCAAGAAATAAGAAATGGAAACTTGTTGAGATACTTTTTACTGAGAATTCTATATTGTACCAAAATTATAATACTGAATAAAGCCAATAATAATAACTTTTGGATCTTAAGAAACTAATCAGAGTCAACCCAACAATCTACTTGAATTTACAAATGTTGAAATAGTGAATTTTTATTGCTATTCCTAAATGTTCTTTACTGTACTAATTGGGGATCATGATCGAAATTCAATTTTTTATAAACATGGTGTCACCATCTATATCTAGTTATCAATCTTCATGTTTATACTAGTTCAGTGAATCACAATTATGTGGCTTGTTTGAATGAACATTTATATAAAGTAAATAATTGACCAAATAGTAATTTAGCTATTTGTGATGGCCTAATTTATAAAATTCTGTCAATTTTGTAGAATTCGAACTCAAGGTTTGTGAACTAGAGGTAGAATAATTTGAAACTAGCGACATGTATCTCAAAGTACTAGTACTCTTAGAAAGACGAAATAATAAATACTGTGAATAACACAAATAATACTATTATTAGTAATAATAATAACTGATGGGGATCTAGTCAAAATTATTATGGGAGTGATATACTGACATCTGTTTCTTCCTGAGCATATAAGTTTGGTTTATGTATCTAATGACATCTGCTGTCGGATATTTTTTGACTGTCGTCTCAGGCCGTCTGGATCGTGTTTTAAGATACTGGAATACACTATTCTTTTTCAGTGTATGTGCTCCAACGTACACTTGTAAATTGATGTGGTAGGAAATAGTAAGGAAAGGAAACTTGTCGATTTTTGTCTTTTAACGGAGTTCATCTCATAAAAGGTAATAAGTCTTCTCGCTGAATGAATAACCTTCAGTGCATCATTTATTCTGCGTTTGATTAATGCAATAATTTTAACCCTTTCGGAGTCAGGCCATAGTTATTAAGCTGTATTTTAGTTATATCGCTCTTCAAGGGTTCGTTCTGTGTCTCCGCATACTTATCCATGCATTTCTTTGGATACATATTGTCATATGATGTTGCAAATGGTCGAATATATACAATATTTCCCTCGTATTTTCAATTATCACTCAGCGTGGGTATTTTTTACTGTTTCTCAACCTTAAACCACTAGTAAGACCAGGTTTCCTAGTTCTTAAAAAGTGGTTGTCATTACGTGTGCAGATAACCGGAATAACATGTATTCGAACTCATTTTTGTAATGACACCTACTGTCAGTCGACTGGTTATTCCCACTTTCAGTTTTCTCATCCTATTTTGACCCAAAATCATGTTTATTACTATGTATACACAGTTGTTTCACTACAAATTACACTTCCTTAATATCAAGCTTCTTCCATCGCTTGGTGGATTGTTTTTGAAGTGTTGTATATCAATTGTCCAATCTATCAAGTTTGTATAGATCCAGTTTCGTATCAGAATATAACAATCTTTCGCAATCAAGAATAACTGTAAGACAAAACTTAAATATTTTAAATTAATCATTATATGGCCAAGTGAATTAAAAAGATCATGAAGAATATATTTCACTAAACACTACGAATTGGCTATTACTCGAAGTAGTTTAGATCACATTGAGCAGTATAAAGATGATGCCTAGCTAATGGCTAGAAGAAACCCTTATTTGGCCAAAAGATATTATTTTCTATACGCTGTTAAAATGTGAAGACGGTTAGACGATTTATGCTGATTGATCTAACAACCGAACAAAGTATTCAGTAGAATTACTTAGACTATGTGGCAGCATTAATTAAAATATGAAGTAGAGAAACTTCTATCGCCAAAACAAAATGAATTCATTATATTCAAGGCTTAATCAATATATTTGCAACCGGAAACAAATTAATGTGTATCAACATGTTTCTAAAAAAAGTATACCTAAACTACTGTAAGTTATTTAAAAGTTTAATTGCTAGGCTCTGGATGAGTGGTAGATATCTGTAGAGTATCCAAGACAATGAGTTAACAACTAAAGCTAATTTTGCTTCGTTTTTTAAAGGCGACTGCTATCAAATCATTCTAGCCTAGGCTGTTTATACGGAAGGAAAGTGTGATAAGCCATGTTAATTAATTCTCTAGTCGTTTACTACTTTCATTAAGATTATGTATTGTGCAGTCGTTCACGTATGATGATAATAACAAAACCTCCTATTTGAAAGCTTAGACTAGCTACCTGAATGTAAAGAAGGATTTATTGACGACAATTGAACCGAAAAGATATATACACTCATCCACAATTATATATAATTTTCTCTTAAAAAAAACAAAGCCGAATCTCCAATCGATATCGTGTCATTTCTTAGAAAATGAAACCAAGTCTTAGCCAGTGGTGTCCACATTGAGCCAATTAGAATTAGGCCGAAAGATAAGTATAATTTTTTGGGTTCAGCTGTCAGAATTGAGATGGAGGTAAATCATTCGTAATTATTGATAATTATACTCTCATCTTCTCTACTTTATATCACTAATTTCTTTGACACATGAATGTGTCTATTTGAAATATACTGAATCACGTATTTGTGTCCTAGGTAAATTCTTGGTTCCATTTTTGGTATTGAGTTTAACATCAATAACTAGAGGCTGTCAAACGTTAGTTTATTATAAACAGTCTTACTCAATGGAATTTTAATCTGTTTACGGTTAATGCAAAGCTTTAGAATAGAAAGAATTTGTTTCATTCGACAAATATTGGTATTTACATTCTTTTTAGATCTATACAATGATAAAGCTGTATGAGATAAAAGCAATTATTTACTGTATTTCAAATGTACAATGCTAAAATGGTAAATATGTATATACGATGGAAAGTAGGATTTAACTGTCCTGTTTACTTTGAGGAAGTTGAAAACCTCTAGCAACTAAATAGATTTCTGATGACTCTTTTCGACTAGCTTCCGGTTTAATAAAACGCGTAAATGAAGAACACTTTGAGTTTAATGTATAAAACTGTGAAACTGTTTGTTTAAATTCTTCAGCTTCCGCACTTTCAAATAATTTAATCACGAAACTGGCCCCTTCTTTTGAAACACTGATTGCTACCTAGAAATAAAAGTTTCCGAACAAGAGATCAACATCTTTTTTGGATATCTTAAATATGTATCTTAGTGACAGTTTTTTTGCAATTACAAATTACGACACATTTAAGTACAATAGACGAATCAATTTCCAAACCAGTAGGGACAGTAGTAAACACTAAACTATCAAATAAGTGACGTGTTTTTCATTCTGGGGAATCATAAAAAGTCTACAACTACGTATAATCTTCAGTCTGTTAGTTATCAATGGACATTCGTAGAAAAAACCGGACCATTTCAGTTAGTTGAGATGCACTAAGTTAATGAACGACATGCAAAACAACTAGTAGGGAGTTGAACTTTTTCTGTACTACTGGAGTAACATTTATACTATATCAAAACCTAAGGAAAGATCCATTATATGCTAGCTCACCACCTTATTTTATACAGTAATATTAGACATTTAAACTGATTTAGCCATGTTTACCATTGAAGGCGAGAATAGTTGTTTCATCACTTCAATAACACAGAAATAAAACTACTGGGTGTAATGCAGTTTCAAGCAACAAGTTATACAATCAGCACAGCCTGTTATTCAGATTGTAATAATGAATGGGTCATTAGTCAAACAACAATACACTAAGATTGTCTCAAAGTTCAAACTCGATGTCAGTTATGGACTAAAAATAACTCAACTTCCCTATTCTAAATCGTTATGCACACATAACCTTAGGTTCATACTAGTTGTGTGAACGCCGACAGTGACGTGATATGCGAAATCCCTTTATGTATAAATGAAAGCCGAAAATACCCATCTTAATCATTGGTACCATCTTGATGTTAGTCTGGTTATAAAATGAGTTTACAACGCGTTGGTGAGAGAGATTTTTACCTTATGGTTGTGAAATCTAGTCCCTTGATGTTGAGTTTGTTCTGTGACTTTACATTCGATGACCGTTTTCTCCGGAGCATTGGTGACGAAACTATATTACTGATACTGAGGCTTGTGTATGTATGTTCGAGCACTTTGATTATCATTCAATTAGTGTTGCCATCTTGACACACTGGCACCAGTGGGGTTGACATGTTCTATAAATGTCACCCCACGGGCTAGCACACATCATTAATTGCCGATGCTATTCTTCATTTCTAGACCGAACCCTGATCCCATCCCTTATTTCTTCACGATGTTATCTGTTTTTAATTTATATGGCATATTCTATTCTTAGTTTCTGGATATACTAAATTTTATATGTTAAATAAAATAAATAAATTATTACATAACACAACGACAATAAATTACATTCTGATAAACTAACTTACTCGTAAAATATTATACGCTAATGTCATCATAGCTGGTATATCGATTTCACGCATTCCTGACACATTTGGAGCTATGTCACTGAGGACAATATCAACACCCGGCAGTGATTTCTGTCTCTCGGATTGTAACGGTTTACGGCCATTATCATTATTGTTAAAATGATTGGAAATTGATTGATTAATTAAATTTATACATTCAGACCAATTATTTAAATCAACACCACAATATGTAATAACACCAGGTAATGGTGCGAAGTTTAACAAATCAAGACCAATTACTAAACCTTTATTTTGATTATTTGAAGCTTTGAAATTATTATTACAATTGGTTAAAGATGAAGCTACTTGACACCATGATCCTGGTGCAGCACCACAATCAACAACAATATCACCAGGTTTAAAAATTCCACCGGAAATTTTATCATTTAATTGTAATAATTTGAATGCGCTACGACATCTATAACTTTCAAGATGAGCACGTTTTACGTAAGGATCTGAACGTTGACGTGCAATCCATCTCTATTCAAAAAAAGGATATATATATAGATAGATTCGATAAAGGTAACTGAATTCATTAGAAACATATTTACATCTTATTTTCTGTTATAACTCCTAGTAAATTCATAACAATGGTATCTATGGGAAATGCGTCTTGATTAGTAATGTATACTTCAATTCTGGGATTAAAATGAGTGATTTTATTTAAGTAATTAAAATGTTAATGTGGTGTACAATATAAGTCTCTTTATACAACACATTAATGTTCAATGAACTCAGTAACTGAATGTAATTGTGCCTGCTGCAATATCCAAAGGATCCTGAGTTCTATCAACATGTAGGATATGGTTCTGAAGTACATTCCATTCTCGATAATTGAATGTAACGAGCATATCTTGTCATAAATTGATATCAAAACTGTCAAAAATAACTAAATAGCTCAAACAAAAGTGATTAGAAATATTGAACCAATATTCATCTCACAGGATCTGTACCAACTTTTTAATTACAAGTATCTTCAATGTTTGAATTATTTTTTCTGGTAAGCGTTTTTTTAGCGAGTTAGTTTTCTACGGGATGGGGACGCTAACCCCATGCCCAACCCTCCTCCTTTACCCGGGCTTGGGACCGGCAGTAACTCTAGAAGAGCTACAGGCGGAGTTGGAAAGGATTGCCCAGGACAGGGTTGGATGGAGAATGCTGGTGAGCGACCTATGCTCCTTCACGAGGAGTAACAGGTGTAAGTAAGTAAGTAAGTAATCTTCAATGTATTCAAATCGTTTTTATGCAGTGTATACAAAAAAAAATACGATTTTGTTTGATACTATTCAATGATACTATTGAGTTATAAATAAAAACTTTCGTTTAATCACTAGATAAAATGATAAAAACATTCCCGGTATAGATCATTAACACATACATAAAACTAATTTACAATAAACTAACTTGAGAGCTCCCATCATTTGAACGAATACTAATGATTAAACAAGATAATGCTTGATTCGTTAAGCAATATGGCAAACTCCTTGAATTCAACCAATAGAGTGAGTGCTAAATAAACAAATACAAACCTGATAGATTAGTGTTCGATTATAAATGATAGATGGCTTGTGAAGATTGTTGAATTTTATAGTTTACATTACGCGTTGACCTTAGTTACAGAATCATTGGAAACCAAGGAACAATGGATAGTTCCTACATCCTAGTTTGAAACTCCTCGGCAGTGCATAACCACGAACCACTAGCGGACGAACCTACAACCTTCAGGTATCGCAACGAAATATATTTCCCACGGTTCTAGTGGGAAACCATGACCGGCAGATTGCAACTATACCGGGTATTTGGGAGTTACACATTAATAGCAAATGGAAAATGGTTACGCAGTGTCGCGAACTGACTGAAGTCATAGACGTAAACCAATGAGTGTCGACTCAGTGATCTAAGGGTGCTCCCAAATGCCCTGGTACAGCCGAGAGTGGAGAAAGTCAGTTCACCCTTTCGAAATGCTCTCACATGGCCACGCGTATATAGACTCTGCCAGGGAAGTCCTACTCACTGCATTCTCATGCCATTACTGTCGTTGACGAAATTGAGAGGACGAAAAACGAATGTGCGTCGTTCTAACCGGATTGGTGGACATGGAGAGTCCACCGAGTGTAGTTGGAAAACCCTAATTCCAAACCAATGGTGAACATGAGCTCCAGGATCCTGAGGAAACAAATGGCGTATGAACCTATTGTCGGTCACTGGGTACCATAAGACTGCATCTCCTGACGTTGCTCCACTACCTTGTGGATTATACCTTTAGGTCGAAGGCTCCGGATGTGGCCTCCTAAGAAAACCACCTGATCCGGTCTAGGCACCCGGGCATTATCACAGCCCAAGCAAAAATTAAGTGACTTGGGTAGCGCATATGTATTCGGTACCCCTTTGTACCAATATTTATGTGATCAAATAAATAAATAAAATAAGATCTAACGGTTAGGTGTTTGGCATGAGAGTCCCTGATGGGGTTGTAAATGCAGATTGCTGAGGAGTTTTATAATAAGAGGAAACAGCTGTTCAGTGTTTCCGGATTTTCGTTAGTTCTGTAACTAAGATCAGTTCGTCAAGTAAACTACATGATTTCTTATAATTTGATTTCGATAAATAAGCCATAAACGACCAGTTTCATGATCAAAATTGAATTTATAACAACAGGTGTAAGTCATGTACCTGCGCAAAGTACAACACTTACGTTATGATAGGGGGTGTCCGAGATCTGAGACTGATACACAAATTGATGTGCGCTAACCCCCAAAAATTGACTACTTAAGAGAGAAGACAACAATGAAAGAAAGTCTATTGGGCCGTTAAACAACATGCATAAATACTTATTTATATAAACATATTTCGACTCCCTAAAAATGAATCAATCTCTTAGTCAATGATATGCATTTGTCATTCAAGGCATTTCCGATTGTCATCGAGTGATGATGGTTATTTGTACTTTTTGAAATCTGAATGATATTTAACACTATTTACAATTGCTACTAACATTTCTGACTCTTTCAAGGAATAAGATGTTTTTTTAAAAAAAGGCACAAATGCTTTGTCCATGTTGAATATACATGGAGATCGTCCAAACTTATATTCAATTAAATGAATTTTTGTCGCTCTTGTTAAATTTTCACGCTACATAGTGAAAAGTCATTAGTTGTTAACAAATGAAGCCAAGTGTAAATCCTATATAAAGTATCCTGTCCAGTAACTAATTCGTCTGACGGTGATACATTTTTAAGTGGAAAGAATACACATAGAATCAATATTTTCGGATAATAACCACCATTCCTATTTCATAACTTTTAATAGATGATAAATCAACTTTAATGAATTTTTGGTTATTTATTATCATTATTATTACAGAAGGCCCTGGGTCCGAGTCCCGCGAGCGGGGTCGTGGATGCGCATTACTGAAGAGTCCCACAATAAGACGAGACGGCCGTCCAGTGCTTCCAGGTTTCCAAAGGTGGTCTAACACCACTCGGTTCATGATCTCAATCAAAAACTTAATAATCTCCACAACTCCTATACTAGTATTTATTATCAGTCTGAAAATCCCTTTGATTTGATTTATATGATGAAAATGACATTTATCTTAGTCTTTTGCACCAACAACTCGATAAGATCTGGTTCCATATTTGGACTATTCATTTGTATATGGAGTCACAAACATAAATTGAATTAAGTGAATTAAATCGTTTTAGTAGAAACAAATTCGAATATTTCCTTAATTTATTGCAGCTGAACAGCTACATTTCAATCGATTGTTGTGAAAATGAATGAAATATATTTATCATATACTATAGCAACAATTAATTTGAATGTCACATGAGACTCTAAGACTATGTGAAATTTCAGAGCGTCAGTGACTTATAATTCTTTAGAGATTTTCAAAACGTAAAAGCTTCGTTTTTTTATCTTTTGAAAGTGCTAACATCACCAAATATCCATGTGTAAATAGTTTCGACCTTATAGACACTGAATTAAAAATAATTCGGTTATTTCGAGGAGATCTGAATAAGACATAGATGTATTAGGGCTTAGAAAGATTTTTATTTAACGATACTTTATTCTGTACTTACATCACCAAACCAACTATCAATAGATGACAAATAATCTTACCAAGATGTAAAGAATGACTATGTTCTCATTTATGACTAATTACACTGAAGTGGATCGACAGTAGTTCCTTTGAGAAGCCATGATCTGTTGAATCAATTGGCCTGGAAAAGAACTATATACATACAGAGTATAATGAACAATCGTGACGCTGTCTTTCAAAATCGATTGAATTTTAGGGTGGTGATAACTAGGTTCCGACTCACTAATTGAGTAATACTGCAGTATATACAATAATTAATGGTCTTGGGTTAGATTTTTGCGCATTGTTGAAGAGTCTCCTACAGTAGGAAGACACGAAGTGGCCAAAGATTCTTGAAATCGATTGTTCTCTAGCTGATATACGTTTGTGATCAAATCATTATTAAAATACTATTGTTTTAATTGAATTTGTACTACTTTATTCGCGCACACACACATAAAGTGTCATCTACACTGTTATTTTAAGTAATACCTGCGATGTATCCTTTGATCATTAGACAACGGTCGCTAAATGATGTCACCAATCAATGAAGGTTCATAAATCTAGAAACGTATGAGCTCTTTAGAAGCTAAAGATATAGATTGAGCAATGAAAATAACTAACTAAACAAACATTAACAGAAAACAGCACCTCATACAATTATCTATAGGGTTAAATCATCATCATTAAAATGAAATCAAGAAACTAAGATGTCACTAAGATAGTATATTTCATTATATTAATTAGGTAATAGAATACAGATATATACAAAATATCACACTTATCAATAATGTACTATTTAGATAGTTTTATTGTATCCAAAAGATTATGTGTTTCATACAACAAATGTATGGTCTATATAAAATTCATTACTTTTACCAATAAAATAAGATGTTATTGGTGCAAAATTGGATATATCCCAATGAAAAGAATAGGCATATTGACGGAATACTAAAATGATAAACATTAAAACAACTAAATACAATAAAAGTATTCTGATTAAATGAACCATTCCCGGATTACTAGGAGATATTATATTATATGTAAAATTTGATAGATTCATTAATGTATAAAAATCTGGTGGAGGCCATAACCATAAACCACGTTTATTTGCATCACGTATAATATGACTTATAAATGGAATAAATATGAAACACCAAAATATAGTGAAAAATCTATTGAATTTTAAACATATAGGATAAGATATGAAAAATAAACCAATAACTAAAAGAGTATAAATAAGTAGATATAAACCAGCCCAATGTAAAAATGGTCTACCAGGAAGTTGACGTGCAAGCTGAAAAGAAGTATATACAGAAAGTATTAAAAGAGAAACCGTTATAATTTTAGTTTGATTATAGAAATATAAGAATAGTGATTGATATAATCAAACATTTTATGTCTGTTACTCAGTGATTCTGCCGTTTTTTAATATGTTGTGCAAGAAGGTAGCGATAGAATATGTCTATGACAATCAGTGTCAAAGAAATGAAATTCAAATTTGTTAATCAAATACACGTTTAACTATTGGTGATTGAGTCATAAATCTAATGATTGGGAGAGGAGGCTAATGATAGTATCTGAGTACCTCAATCGAATTATGTCTAGCATAGTTCGAACATGAGACCAGTGATTGAATCACCGTACAAGTGAAAAAAGAATGGCCATGTTGTTCTATGAATGGGCAGAAAGATGACACTTGATGATATGATGTAACCTACGACTTAATAGCCGTAATTACTAAGTCAACTCTCTATTGAACAAGTAAGTGGTTGTCTTGTCTTAGTAGCTAAGTGGGTAACCAGTTGACGTTTGAAACGAGAGGTGCTGGGTCTGAGTTTCAGTGTGAAAATCAACATTATGATGGTGGTTTATCGAGATGACGAGTTTCACGTAAAACGGAACGTACATCTTAGATTTTACTACTAGTCACAACTCATGTATTCTAATAAAACATTGTATTTACATTTCTATTCATAATAGTATGACCTTCACTTGTGTACAGCGATACCTTATTGCTGTTAACTACGCAGATCGATGCATTTCAAAGTAAAGATATATACGTTTTTTTTTAAAAACCTAGTAATACGCACCATATTTACTTAAATACCTTATAAATAACCGTTAGCAAGGCTCGATAACAGAAAAACAAAACGTAATGAGTAGCCACATGAAACCAAAAATGTCATTTAAACGTGACAATACGACACGTACTTCAATGCTTGTACTTCCTGAAGCTATAAAATGATCAATATCCGGTAGTATTGCACCGAATGCTGCCCAAAAACATGACTCAAGAGTCATAATTATATTTTTTCGGTAACCTGTGGTATATAAATCTAGTTTACCATTTATACTAATCAAACAACATAGCCAAAACATTGAACCAGTTAATCCATGGGTAAGAGTTTCCAAAAACAAATGTGTATGAGAACCTGAGTTGACTGATTTGCATAATCTAAATCGTAATTAGATCGATGCATAATTACTACAAGGATGAACATACATTTCAAGTAACCATAATGAAAGGGAACCAGTCAGGATTAGGAATACTTCATAATTTATTTCAATAATCTAAAAAGAATCTGTATGAGGACGTAAAACTATTATTTTGGTTTACGAAAAAAACGGAGTGTTACAAAAATTACGATTTATTGTTTATGATTATATACAAAGTTTTTGATAATAGTCTGTTTATCCAGAGTTCCGTGAAGCATCCTCGTCACCATCATTTTCACCTTGAAATCTAACTAACTCTTGTTCAGCATCGTCAAACGCTCGATTTGAAGGATCAACTTCTTCATCATACTGTAAACATTGATCAATTTGAACTAGTAAGTCTGTTATAGTATCTTCTTTATCTCTGTTTAATGGGACAAAATGAACTACACTGTAACGCTCAATCAAATCAGCTAGTGCATGAGTAAGTTTATTAAATGGGGCTTCCTTTTCGTGATGTTCCCCACCGTCTTCTTCATCAAATACTTGATCCAGATCAAAAAAGTAATCCATATCAGGATTTAGATAACGAGCCATGACATATTTTTGTTTTTGTTCAGATAACAAATCAAGTTTAGACATTACGTTTATATGAGCAGTTGATAAGGATACCATAGCAGAGAGAGCAGACAATACACCAGCTAGAAAATGTGATGAATCTACGAGAAATCTAGCATCCAAAATAAATATTGTAACAAAACGAAAATCCCATTTTCTTTGCATATATTCAATTATTCGTGGCATAATCGGTAGGTGTGAGTATAATTCAATTTGACCAGGACAATCAAATAATAAATAGTCTCCATCTATATCACCAAGTGCAGTATCCAACCAGTTCAAATTTTGTTGAAGATATTCTAAGCAGAAAATAAGTCCACCGTTTGGACCTAAACGTATAGCCTCATCTTCCATTACATCATCTAACTAAAATTATCCTAGAAAAATTCAGATTAAATAACTTACATGAATAAGGTCTCGTATATCCGCTAGTGGAGTATATTCAAAGAACTCCGCTGCAGGGTCCAAATTGACCACATCAACTTTCCTCCTCAATGTTTCACAATGAGCTTGCATTGTACTACAATAAGTTGATTTCCCACAACCAGCTGGCCCTATCACCAGCTGGGCAAACCTAGGCATTATCTTGATTAAATATGCCACGAGAAACCAATATGCCCTAACAAGAAATAAGAATCATTTTCAAATACGGCAAAAAAGTGAGACTTAAGTGAACTAACTTTGAAAATAAAATCAGACTTTAAAGAATATACATAAAAACAATAATTAGCTTTTTATTTACGATTTGTTGTCTAATTTCGACATAGATACGAAATCTCCCTGTGCACAAGTCCAACTGGCATCGAGAGTGAGAAGGAAGTTTATAGAATAAACGGAATCTGGAACGTACTCACACTATATATATATATATATATATATATATATATATATATATATATATATATATATATATATATATATATTAGATTAGATTAAATTAAGCCACCAACGGCGTACGTCTCATTCCCTAGAAATGCAAGCTATTTCTTGACCAGTCGCTTGCATCTATCGTTGGATCAATTTTTAATTAGCCCAATGTACCACGTTGGTCTTAATTTTATGGACACGTGTGTTATATAGCAACTTTACATCACTATTGGGTATAATTGCACTTCTTTATCATTTAGATTTTAGTTTTTCAATTTCTGTGATGTGAAGTGTAGAACTAGATGTAGTACACGTTTTTACTACATTGGATGTAACTAGACTGCTAAATTTATTATACAACTTTACGGAACACATTTCGCAAAACAGTTTGTGCAAGCTAAAATCATGACTGGTACATCACATTGATTGACGGTTCATTATTTGTTTACCTACGTGTTCCCTATTAAACTGTTAATGTGGATATTGGAGTGGAGTAGTATGTTGGTGACTAAAGTCCTTTTTAATTTGACTGATGGATTGTAGGTTCAAGTTCCGACATTCCAAGTTTCATTCGATAGCTGCATAGTATCGATACCCATAACTATATGGCTCAGTTAATGCACATAAACTTGAACATGATAAGTCATATTACCATGATTTATAATAAATGTAATAATATAAAAACAGGGTGGACTTGAAGGGACATAGTATTACGGGGAACATTTTTGCTTTAAAAATCGAGTGATTTCTCAAAAAAATATATATTAGAAAGACTGAATGATTACTACTAATTACCCATGTTTTATTTTCTTACATGTTAAACCTACTGATTGCAAACCCATGCTTATTAACTATTCTGGAGAAAATACGCCTGGGAATTTGTGAGATATATTGAAACCAATAGAAATAAGTGGGTGCATCAAATTTGTATTTTATGTACACTGCTTTCCATGTATAATCATAACTACAAGCTAATAACTAGCAAAAGAATTTGACCAGCCGCAGGTAACAACAAACCATGTTTTTTTAATCCTAAGCAAGACTTGATATGACGCAATTATGTTATTTAATTTGGGTTGCAAGATAAATGCTCCATTCAAAGTTGTCAACTTCATTTTACTTAAACAGTAGGTAATAAGGTAAAACTTATCGAGTAAATATATTCAATATAAAGTAAATACAATGACTCTTTAGAGAAGCCATGGAATGCTGAACATGTGAAAGAATTAATATTTTTGATAGCCAATAACCCACTACATATCATTTCTTTTTCTACTAGATCACTTCTTAGCACCAAATATCAACAAGTAGCCTTCACAACGGTATAAAATTATTGTACGATAACTGCTCATATTTCCTAAATTTTACATACTATTAATTAAGTAATCAACATCTTTGTGATGAGCTAATGTAAATAATCTGACCCCTTTACATTTGCTTCTTGATTTCACGTTGCAGTCTTGCATCTATAATTTATGGACGACCTTTCAGCTATACTAGACTAACCGTGAAAGTGTCCACCTACTAACTAGAGCTAAATGAGGGTTATAAAACAGTTTGAAGAAAAAAGGGTTAAGATTTACAGTTGATGGTTAAGGTTAGGAATTACTTATAATGTTTTCATCACGAACTGGCACCAGCTATAATGCCAAAACTCTACTCAGTCAAATGTGTGAATGAATTTGCGCCAAAATCTAAGACTTGTTATTGTAAATCTGATTGCTTCGTCCATCAATTATAGTGCAGTACAAGATATTAATATGTTCATAAATGTCCGAACTCCCAATTTTAGGGGGAATTTGGCCCATTTTAACGAAATCTCAGGGAAGCCGCTATAGTCAACTTTGGAGAAATGGCACAAAGCCTACAAAATATCCCCAGACCTAGGAGAATTCCCCAATATATCCACGAAATTCCCCTTTGACCTTGTTCAAGGTCAGTTACCTTTAGGGATTTCCCCGAAATCTCCCCCATACATTAGTGAAGGTCAATTGACTTCGGGATTTTCCCCGAAATACTCCATAATTTCCCCAAACTTGGGAGCTCGGGTGCATTTATGATTGCTTCAGTCAACGTTTATAAACTTCCATAAATGATTTTTCTTGTCCACTGCTAAGCTTCATAATATGAGCAAATAGTAAACTTGACCCAGTAATAACACGGAAGACAGGAGGGAGTGGTACAGATTAAAATGCAACATAACAAGAGACATCTCATCTTGCCTATATGTAACGTACAGCTTGAAAACCCCGCAAGTTTGGAGTTCAGATTTCAGATTTGTGTAGTAAAGACAGAAGGCCTACAGTCTTTGTTATTTCTTTTCTAACATGCATCTGTGAGTGTCCAGTCTTCTCTTGAAAGAGTCAACTGAACATGCAGACACCACTGCTTCGAACAGCAGGTCCCAACCCAAGCTGCCAATTTTGGGGAAATTTTGGAGTTTGCGTCTCCTTTCCATAAAATTTCCCTAAAATTTGCTATAGCGGTTTCCCAAAAATGGACCAAACTTTCCTCAAAGTTGGCAGCTTGGGAAGTATTGATGACTCGATGTGAAAACCTGTTTGCCACGGGTATTTTGTTCGTTCTTGGCTTTTCAACTCGCTTGCTATGTCCTCTGAGGTGTCTCAATCTATTGGGAAGAAAATGAGAGCATAAGTTAGGTCCGAAATCATTTCTCAGTATCCTGTACATCAAAATCAGATCTTTTCTTAATCTGCGATAGGGCGGAGTAAAGAGGTACAGCTTTTCAAGCTGCTCTTTGTATGGTGAACCCCGGAGTTCTAAAATCGCACGGATAGCTGCCTTCTGTACTTCTTCTAGGATATCCGAGTCACCTTTTAAACAGAGGTTTGCAGCCTGAACACAGTTCTCAAGCTTCATTCTCATTAAGGATGTGTATACTGTGGTGAACATGGTAGTATCTAACTTAGTGAACGTCCGTTTTAAAGCCAGAGGGTTCGAAACCCCTTTAGCTGCGACCTCCCGGAAATGGGCCATCATCCTAAGATCGTGACTTGCCGTCACCCTTAGATCCTTATGAGACCAGACCACGGGTAATGGCACTTTCCCTATGTTGTACCTGGTAACGTTTTAATCCCCATAGTGCATGTAGAAACACATTGCCGAGTTGTTAGGCATCAGCCACTCTTAAGACCAGTTAATCATATTAATAAAGTCTGCCGGAAGAGCATCTGTGCCTCCAGTTATTACTCGCCAGATCTTTACATCGTCAGCGTATAATAACATTGGAGACTGTACTATACTTGGAGGATCATTAACATACATTATAAAAAGTAAAGGACCTAGGACCTTGAGGTACTCCATTAAGTACTTGTCTCCAGATGGAGCACTTGGAATTCATTTTTACTTTCTGTCTACGATCCACTAAGAAATCTTTAATCCATTTTAAATGACGTTTGGCAATACCAAGGTTTTCCATTTTCAACAGCAGTCTATTAGTTGACACCTTGTCAAAAGCCTTATTGAAGTCTATGTAGACACCATCCCCTGAGTTTCCGTTGTCTTGCATTTTTATTCAAAACTACCTTGCTATAAGGAGGCCTGTTGTACAAGATAGACCCTTTATAAAACCATGTTGTTCTATGTTTAGTAAGTCATTAGTTTCCATAAATGCCATTATGGTCCGTTTGACTATTCTTTCCAATATACTAACTACAACACTGGTGAGGCTTACAGGTCTGTAATTCGGTAGAAGTTGTCTTGGTCCTGTTTTATGCATGAAAGTGACGATTGCGTCTTTCCAGTCCATATGTAACACACCTTGGTCAAGTGAAATATTGAATATCACAGACAGTGGGGCCGCGATATATTGTGCAATATGTCTCAAGATTTCGGGGTGTAATTCATCTGGTCCTGTTGACGTTTCCATGTTTAAGGTGCTAAGAGCCTTGAACACATCGTCTTGACCGAAGTCCACGGTGAGTAGATGGTTTGTTGGCTCTTTATTTTGGTCTGGTTCTTTGTCTAGAGGAGGTTCGTGAGTGAAAACTGCTCCAAAATAGTCAGCCATAGCCTCTGCTTTTTCCTGATCTTCCTCTGTCATTTCAGATTCACTCCCTTCTTTAATTAGGTTGGGAATCCAATGATGCATCCTTGTTCCGTAGTTTATGTGTGAGAATATTCTCTTGGGCTGCTTGAGTGCGGATTGTGCCAGCTGCATTGCATATTTTCTTTGAGCTTCTCGAATTTTTGCTATACACTTGTTTTTTACTGATCTGTAGCTTTCCATCGTACCTGCTATGCCAAGGCGGATGGCAACATCCTAGCATTTCTTCTTTTGTCTTAGTAAACGTCGAATATCCCGCATATCCAGGGATGTCCGTGCTTCTTTTACTTTGGGACAGTCCAGGGTATGTATGGTTGAGTTACCCGATTGTATAACTGCCTGAATAGAGTCCATGCCTCTTGTACTGATGCCTTTGAGTCAATTTCCCAGTTCTCAGCCGATGCTGCGGAGTTAATTGCCTGCATATCTGCCTCCAATATGTTAGGATGGGCCGGCGCAGCTGTTTGACAGGCAGTTTCAGCCATGAATTTGAATAAGATGACTGCATGGTCAATTCTCCCAAGTGAGGGGAGAAAAGCCATTTGACCAACGTCATCACCGTGTGTGAAAACTTAGTCGTTTT